GTAACTGGTGATACGCATGGCGACGACAGTATTACATATTTCCCCAATGTTTCGGAAACTCAAAGCGAACCCGTCCATGCATAAACCTCTAACGTGCTCTCTACAAATCAATATCATCGACTGCACGCACTAGATTATAAAAAAAACTTTGATGAACTGTGAATGAACCCTCACAGCCATACATTACCACAAAAGAATAATCTCTGAATGGGTTCTATATTTTATGTTTAAATGTTGCAGGCACTCGTGAAGAGCAATCTCCTCAGAAGGCAGACTGGTTTTATATATATATGTTGTATGTCTACAAACGGGACTCACTCACTGTGCTTTGATGTATCGCATGGTCGCTCTAGTGTTCTTATGTAGATGTGTTTATGGAGTAGAGATCATAATTATACATCCATATATATTTGCACAGTGTGTGAATGCAATCCATGTTCACTCACTCATCAGTCAGGCTCCTCCATCGTGACTGTTTGGACAGGATGTGGAAACAACAGACAACGTCTGTCTGATCTGGACTGGTCGCCTTGCATGCTGCGAATGGTATGCTCTCACAGTAGTACTTAAAACCTTTCTCGAAATGTTTGTTTCCCAAACTTATGTTATGTCCTCTGCGTATTTCTCCACAAAGGAGAAAGTGTGCTTGGGAAGACGCCGCAGGTCTCTGGCGTTTGATTGTGATCTTGCCATATTTTGAACGACTGTTTTCCAGGTTCTTTCCCTTATAAATATATATGAGTACAAACAGGGATTCTCAAGCTGGCATTTTAACTTGCGTAGTCATTGTCACAACTTCCAAGTTCATTTTTCTCCAATTCCCTTTCTGTAACAGGTTAGTGTTATGGCATTGTGTAGTCATAGGTTAGTATAATGTTATGTAAATGTTGTATAAAGCTACAAATGTCTAAACAGGTCGTGTGTATTCACCACACCAGTTAACAACCAGTTTGTGAATTTGTTTCAGTTGAAGATATTGCATTTGTATTGAATGTTTCATGAATAAACAAAATCAGTATGCTGATTATTTCCATGTGTTTCACCTTTTAATATACATTAACGCACGACGCCATATATTATGATAGAGGGTTTAGATAGCTTGATTAAAACTCATCGAAGTACATATTCCAGATTAGGAGTTGGCATTACAAGCAATGTGACAATAACGATCAATGCCAGTTCTTTAATGGACGCCTATCTGTACGCGATTCAAACAGGCAAAAGGGTTTTGTTATATGCAAATCGCAGTTTTGCACGTATGTCCCGGAAGTAATATAAATTCACCGCTTAGCGCATGCAAATCAAGGGAATATACATCTCTGCCCTTTCCTAATCCCTACCCTTAAACGGTTGGTTCTACAGTTAACGTGAAACACGATTGTTTGTATTGTTTTCGAATTTGGAGATCGCCAAGTGCAGTGACATTTTATTGTTTTTTAAGAATTACTACAATTTACACTTTTGAACTTGGACAAGTTTGTTCACCCAATCACTTTCAAAATAAGGGTAAAATTGTTTCTCATTGAGGTGCAGTGCACGAAACAAGTCAGGATGTAATATGATGGTCATGCGTATTGGAAGTGAAATGGTCAGTTTGTTAGTTATTTGCTTTATTTAACATCGCACGCACAACTAAAATATTTCGGCGACAGGGTAGTACACTGAATAAGAAATGAGGGGGAACAAAAAATATAAATTTTAAAAGTGTGGTGTTACTAATATTACTAGGTATAACATATGAAATAGGTAAAGAGTAATAGAGATTTGGAATTTAATATAGATGTAGTGTAGTAAATGGTTATTCTCATTATTATTGTATTTTTTCAACCGACCGATGTTTAAAAACATATTTATTATGTGAATAATGATAATCATATAAAAGGTTAAAAAATGAAGTTGATAAAAAGAGAGAATTCTTTTGAATTATTTGGGATTTATTAGAATGTGCTTGAGATCAGAAGAGTTAGAATTGTTGAGGTACTGTTTTAAAGCATTGGTAAATGGGGTACTTTGTTTATTATATTTTGAACAGTAAAAGATATTGTGGGCTATTGGTTCAGGAATATGGCAAGTGCCGTTTGGATGAGGGTTGATTTTGTGTAGATAGTGATTAAGATTGCAATTTGCTAGTCTTAATCTGGTTTTGGCAACATCAATTCGGCGTGTTCGGTGATAATTTTTACATTTTGTATTTAGTGTTTGTTTGATGAGTCTTAGAATGACATAGAACCCAAGCGTCTCATACAAACCGAAACGTGAGTCTCATGAACCAATTCAGACAATGACCGACTTTTCAGCTGATCCGAATTTTCTCGTGTGAAAGTGAAAAGAGACACTACAAACAGCTATGGTATTTATAAATGAATTTTTATTTTAATCGTGTTTCTATATTTCATGACGAGGTTTAGACAGCATGACGTTAACTAAGGCGTCACAGACTGTCCCTGTTTGAAGAGGTCGTAAAATGATTCACACCTTATCTGGCTGACTGGTTACGACTGTTATGTGTTCTTTCGCTTATTAAGTGTATTTTTTGTAACGCACAATGTGATTGTGTACGACAATATCAAGGTCGTACAAGACCGCCAAACATTTTTAGCGGTCGGGCCTCGTTTTGAGATTCCCGTGCCGTTTGTCAGAGAACGCTGTACGACAGAGCACGCTTCTCGACGTGTTTGCAAGGATTAGGAGGTGCGTGTTTGAAATAATTTGATTTCTTCTTTTCTTTAAATACAACCTACTTTACCTACGAAAAAACAAAACAGTCCCAAACAAAATTCTGGATTGGTTGTTGTACCAAGTTGCGCAATAGGTTGGACGGAACCCAGTCAGCAGGAAACGAGACTGTTTGATAATCAATGACTTTAGGAACTATCGATAGATGGATCCAGGGGCGTAGGTTGTGGGGCAGCCATGTGCTTAAAGTCCAACGGGCGAACCCTATTTCTGACTCTCCCGTAGTGCTGTTGCTGGAATATGCTAGTGAGTGAATTTTGCTTAACGTCGCATCAGAAAGTTTGCAAACATTCAGGCGCGTAGCAAACTAATTTTTTCGTGTAGCATGTATTGTCATGAATCCAACTGTCTCAGTTGAAGAAGAATATCTATATAACAATGTAAAACAATATGAACAGCTCACAGAAAAGGTTGCAGAAGGTCAGACTCTTCTGATTTACTTATATGTGCGTTTCTTTACAAACAAGAGAAAAGTCCGGTCACGTTAATATGCAAATTAGCCTGTGGTTATGATGTTTGGCTAAGTCATCACTGCACCGGAATGTGTATCTGACCGAGCGAAAGCGAGGTTAGAAACCATAGGAAGGTCACGAATTTCGTATACTTCGTATGTAATGAGACCGAGTGCGGTATTTTATTTATTACCCACGTGTTACATGCATTAAATTGACAAAATAGCGTATTTTTGTTATTTTTATGTTCTAACACCGAAACCGGTTTCATAAAAAGTTTGCAGAAGAATTTTGTTCTGTAGTACACTTTTTGCATGACGTCACACTGTATGGACGTCACTACGCCATCCTCGTCTGCCCCCTTCGTAACCGACGTCACGATGTATGTCAGTTGCATTCGCCTCGTACAACATCCTACATAAACTACTCGGCTAACATCACTGGTGGAAACTTCGCGTTTATGTTTTTCAAAGGATATAATGTCTCAGTTCGACTCACAATTAAACAGCGTTAGGGCAACGTTCACAATGTTTACATTCCCACAATGTATATAAGTTGTGGAGTGAATGAATTCGCGTGTTTGTTATGAATAAAAAGTAGTTCCGTCACAACGTGACTTAATTTAGAGGTCATCGGTTATCCAATCAAATTTTTAGAACCTCAAGTCGATACGACACAGGTCAACGCAATACGGCACTTGTGTGACGTACGAGATTAGTATGCACCTACCCATACGTTGACCACGTGGGTAATAGATAAATATACAGAAACAAATAATTAGTTCCAGACAAAAGGAACTAAATATGTAACTAGTTTCTTCTATTACAAACACAGTTGTTAGATGGAATTGCTGAATGTTCGGCTTCTCTTTCCTTAAGCACTAACCAATAAATACACAACTACACAAAGTGCCATGTGTTAACATGTCTACGTAAAAGGCTGTATTGTCCTTCAGCAACCGATGCTTGTCGTAAGAGGCGACTAACGGGATCGGGTGGTCAGGCTCGCTGACTTGGTTGACACAAGCCATCGGTTCCCAATTGCGCAGATCGATGCTCATATTGTTGATCACTGGATTGTCTGGTCCAGACTCGATTACTAACTGACCGCCGCCATATAGCTGGAATATTGCTGAGTGCGGCGTAAAACTAAACTCACTCACTCACTACAGGGACACAAGAGCGACCATGATACATATTAAAGCAGAGTGAGTGCGCGATTCCCGTTCATAAAGTCACGAGTGCCTGCAACATATATACTACCCATCAAAAGTGACTCACTAGAGTAAATGTAGCCATTTATTTCAGGCAACTGTCCTAAACTAGATTTTGCAAAATATTCCATACTGTTTAAAGGTACTGTTTTCACAGGAACTGATGCATTGTAAAACAAATTCGTAACGTTGAAAAGATTATTATCATGAGTTCAATGAATGATGACACTCAGTGAAACTTGCCAAATTCTTAACAAAACTATACACCAAAACGCAGCTGTTCACTTGCACGATATTTGCACATGTTTTTCAGCAATTTGATGTACGATTCTCATGCAGTTCAGCTGCTTAAGGTTTGCAGTTCGTTCCCCCAAGTAAGTGGAGAAATTCATCTTCGATGTAACCACATATATATGCATAACATATAGTGAATGCTTTAAGTGAGTCTAATTTTTATGGATAGTATATAGAAGCCGTTCAGAGATTATTCTTTTGTGGTAATGTTCATTAATGTTTTTAATCCAGTGCGTGCAGTCGATGATATTCATTTATAGAGAGCACGTGAGATGTTCATGCATGGAGGGGTTCGCTTTCAATTTCCAAAACATTGGGGGAAATATGTGAAACTGTCGGCGCAATCTCGCAGTCACAGGAAATCTTGCGTCTTCGTGTTTTTTTGCCTGATTTTTACAGGTCGAGATTGCGAGATTATACCCCATTCTCATGTTTTCGACTCTTGACAAAAGTACCAAAAAAATTAAGATCGTGAGAATGCGAAGGTTTTGACACATTTCGTGTTCTCATCTTCCAATATTTTGTCATATTAAACTTCTTTCCATATTACTAGCTCAATCAGAGACATAAGCCTGTGTGTTTCACCAGTTACATCGACGCTGGTAATGACCAACATTTGCAAGAGAACGATGATCGTCGCCGCCGACGTCAAACCACGTCAGAGTCTGCAAGAAGCAGTTATTATTGTAATGTTCGAAAGATCTGCAGACGATGTTTTTAGCATCCACACACAGCTCTGCACATTCCGCAGAAGTCTTAGAATAGATGGTCCTGACGTTGTGTCCTCTGATTGCCAGGTTCACGAAGAGGGTGAAATCAGATCCAAACGATGAGCATTCTGTAAAAAGACAACAAGTCATATTTCTGATTGAATCTGGATTACTCTCTATGTTATAGAGGACTGAAATGCCGACTAAAGCTGCCTCAAAAGCAACTCAAGCATTTGGACCTAACACGACATCAGGCCCAAATCATTCCTGTAGTTTATTGATACAGAAGCCAGTGATTCATATTCTTAGCAACTATCTACACTGTAGTTACCCTGTCATGACGGTTACTAAAACAACTATGCTGAAACTTTAATGGCAGTTATTACGTTTACTGAATTGTAGCTTAAATGTGAATATACCGAATACACATGGCACAAAATATTGCCAATGACTATGCAGTATTTTAAATGGACATAAATGGAATATAAATAATGCTCAAACATATGAATGCACACACTCACACGCACACACGCATGCACGCACGCCCACATTGCAAGTAAATGACTGAGAGTTATAAACAGTCTGATGGGAAGTATTAAACAACTTGCCCCATTTCAGTGCATGGGTACAGTTGTAAAGTGTATTTCCGGTATCACGCCGTAGGTTGTTTACCTGTCAGCTTCCTGCACGTAACGCTGGTCTCGTCCATGTCGTACCCGATGGAACATGTGCAGACACCCCCAGAACAAGTCCGTCCAGGAGAAACAGCACAGTCGCTGTCCGCCTCACACGTACCGTCATCTGTAAGACACAGAAGTATATTACACATAGAATGTACACCATGTACAAGATATCGTTGGTGCCTGAGTTGAAAGTATACTTGTGATGCAGCAGCAAGTAATAATTATAAAATGTAATAATTTGATATGCGAGTGGGTGAGTTTAGTTTTACGCCGCACTCAGCAATATTCCAGCTACATGGCGGCGGTCTGTACATAATCGAGTCTGGACCAGACAATCCAGTCATCAACAACATGAGCATCGATCTGCGCAATGGGGAACCGATGACATGTGTCAACCAAGTCAGCGAGCCTGACCACCCGATCCCGTTAGTCGCCTCTTACGACAAGCATGGGTTACTGAAGGCCAATAGTCTAACCTTCACGGGTGATTTGAAGACCTTCACGGGTGATTTGATATGCTAAACAAAAGCTAGATTCTGAAATATGTTGCCTTTTCGGGACGTTTTAGCCAAACTTGTACAGCTTGTGTCGTTAAACGTGAAAACATGCAAGTGTTGCTCAAATCCCACCATATGCCTCGTGGACTAGCCTCGTGGTTAAAGATATTACTGGCTGATCTGATGCCTATTTCTGATGCGCGCAGGAGATATCACCAATGACAATAAAGCGGCACAATTTCGTTTTTAGTCCTGGAATCTGAAGACTTGTGTGCAGAATGTTTTTGCCGCTATTTCTTCCTTCAGTAACTGAACTCTTACCATTTTCAAACTAGAATTGCCATTTTGATTTCTTCTGTTGATAATTCCTTACGCCAATGAGGAACAGAACTATTTAGACATGCTGTTTCAGATCTACAGCTAAATACAATAAGGAAATAATTATTTCCAGATACATGTAGTTGCGTGTTTGTTTGTTATCAGGTCAATGAAATAGAGATCCATGTGGCTTTTCACCGTAATAATTTTTAACAACAACAACACTGTCTCATAGTTCCCTTGAGAGGGTATGTAAGCCCACTGTCTGTCCCTTTCTCTGCACTCCTCCCTCGTAACAAATAGTGAATTGTGTCAATATTTTAATGATAGATTGTTAAACAACTTTTATATTTTTAGGACAAAAATTCTGCAAAAACCTCACAGAGTTGGTATGATGTTTTGATTATGATCAGCGTTTCATTGAGTATTTTATGTTTATTAGTTTTCGAGTTAGATTGCAATTCATCGGTCCGCTTTTGAGCCAAACGGACTATAGTACTTTTACTGTCCTTCGTTGACAGGGTTTTATAAATTATATGTATTTTTGTGAATTTAGAACTAGTTTTAGTCACGATGTGGCTGAAATGTGGCCGATGTGACTATAAATTTTAACTCCCTCACTGTCGCATACATGTACGTACATGGTGTAGTCGTGCTTGCCAGTGTGGTTGTTGAAGTTGATGCTGGAACTGATGTAGTCGCCACCGGAGATGTAGTAGTAGTAGTAGTAGTAGTTGATGCCGTTGTGGTGGTTGGAGTAGTAGTAGCAGTAGTGGTGGTAGGTGTAGTTGATGCAGGGTTTGTAGTAGTAGTTGATGCCGTTGTGGTGGTTGGAGTAGTAGTAGCAGTAGTGGTGGTTGGAGTAGTAGTAGCAGTAGTGGTGGTAGTTGTAGTTGATCCAGGGTTTGTAGTAGTAGTTGATGCCGTTGTGGTGGTTGGAGTAGTAGTAGCAGTAATGGTGGTTGGAGTAGTAGTAGCAGTAGTAGTGGTAGTTGTAGTTGATGCAGGGTTTGTAGTAGTAGTTGATGCCGTTGTGGTGGTTGGAGTAGTAGTAGCAGTAGTGGTGGTAGTTGTAGTTGATTCAGGGCTAGTAGTAGTAGTAGTAGTAGTCGTAATCGTAGTAGTAGTTTGTGGTATTAAGCCCCCAATATGTACACATACATGGCTTTTAGCTGTGTTGACGGGGATGCACATGTGCTTGGCACTGCATGGTTGATTGGCACATGGATGAACCTACAAATAACCATATATACACATGATAAAGTGCGTGTGAAAATGTTTAGAAGTTTGGGAACATATGTGCCCGACGTTGAAATGTTTGTATTTTTACGACAAGCATGAGTGCTAAGACCAGATATATCCCGGATCTTCACCGGTACGTTACGGAAGAGACTGTATGCCGCAATCCCATTATTCATCCCACGTAGAAAGATACTGTAAGGGACAGATTAATGGTATTGCAAGCTGATAAAAATTGTTCTAACATTTTCGTATTCACACCATCAAGACTGGGTTAGTCATCACTGGTTGCGTGTCTGATTGACCACACGTCCTCGAGAGATATAGATGAACATAAATGATTCGACGGTGGAACGGTTAGGGTAAGGGTTAGCATCACTAGGTCTGAGCGAATCGTATTCCATATTGTGCAAGGGAGAGGCATTGGACATACACTACACTAGGACGACAACGCATAGGCGGATCCAGAGAGAGAGAGAGGGGGGGGTGGGTGTGTGTGTTGGGTTACAGAGGTGCGCGCGGGTGAAATGTGTGTGCACACACCCCTTTCTCACTAGTGTGTAACACACACACACACACACCACACCACACCACACCACACCACACCACACCACACCACACCACACCACACCACACCACACCACACCACACCACACCACACCACACCACACCACACCACACCACACCACACCACACCACACCACACCCCTTCTCATTAAGCTGTATCCGCTGCGACGCTCGTGCCTTCGTGCACGAATTGTCAATGGTCTCCAGCAGCACAAGATCAATACAATACGAAGATAACAATGATCCCAGACATGGCACTCACTGAACATGACTGGGTCACGTGTAGTTACAGGCCACCGATCACATTGGCTGAACTTGGCCAGGCGTAGCAAGAGCAGTGGTACTGAACGTTTTCCTTTCGATAAGCATCCCGAGCCCGAGAAGGATCAAGTAAAATTCTTCAAAGGCATTTAAAAGTATGCATCGGAAAATCGTAAGGATAACAACTTTTTTATTTACTGTTCACAACATTTCCGGGTTAGTACTTCCCTTCTTCAGATGGATAATGATCATAGTGTACAGTATATATATCGATGTACAGTAAGCCATATATGTAAATTAAGTACAAGAGCAAGTGAAGAAGGAGGTATAATTAAGTATGTACAAACAATGAGGTGAGATGAAAGAGAAGAATACAATGATAGGGTATATTTCATCAGACATCTACATGGAGATGAAGCAGTCAGACTCCTCAGCATGATCTCAACGCAACACCAAGATCATCAAGACGAAGAACCACCTCACCTTCCTACTCTGATGCAGAGACAACAACATCGTACCTAATGGACTCAGACTCTCCTGTCCAGACCTGCACCCCATCCATCTCGAAAATTCTCCATCAAGCCAGCAGCAGAATCCTCAAGGTCCAAGTCCAGCAACTGAGACTGAAGAAAGCCTCCCTGGAGGATAACCTTCGCAGATCTTCAGCCGATCTAGAGGCCACCCTCAACCCTGACCTCCTACAGATAGTCCAGTCGCTTACAGCCCTCAACGATAAGATGAAACAACGCCAGACTAAGAAATTCAACAGCATGCAGCAGCTCACTCATCCCATCCTAGCGTCACCACCATCATCTGTGAAGCATACTACAAGAAAACCCTAGTCAACCTCAGCTCCAAAACTACTGACCACTGCCCAGACATCCCACCTTTCAGAAAGTCTGAAATTCGTCCCCACCTGCAGCACCATCAAGTCAGAAGAATTCATCACCAGCATCGAAAGCGGCCTCCAACAACTGACCCCCCCACTTGCCACGTAGATTACCTCCGGTACCAAATAGCCGACCTCGTCAAACAGTCTCAAAGCAACGCAGCAATCTCTCATCACAAGAAAAGAAGGCCATCCAAGAACTCCGCAGCGATAAGTCCATTATCATCAAGAACAATTGGATAGGGCCAGGGAGCAGTCAACATGGACACTCCTGAATTCCACTGCCTTGTGAACAAGACCCTCAGCAACACCTCAACCTACAAGATCATACCCAAGGATCCAACCAAATCAATGACACTGTGTACAATAAGTTAAATCCAATCAATTGTCAATTTCCCCTATGCCCGTGCTACTGAAAAATTCACAAAAAAACATAAAATTTAGTATTCCTGTGTGCTCGCGAGGTTCAGTTTACTACAAAACAGCTCAATTTCTTTCTAAACTCTTGTCCCTTTGGGGAAAGAAGGTAAATCCTTCATCAATGACTCGGCATTATTTGTGAACAAACTGTTGGACGCAAGATTATCAGGCCAAATGGTCAGTTATAATGTTGTTGACTTATTTACAAACATCCCATTATATGAAACTCTTGACATTCTCCGTGCAAAGTTAGACAGTTGTATTAACACTCTTGACACAAAACGCAGCATAGACAGTATGATCGAATTGGCATCCAGCTGTTTCCAGACAGCATATTTCACATGGCAGAACAACATCTATTAGCAGATTCAAGGGCCCCCGCAGGTTCACTACCACTGCCCTGCTGACCCAAACCAAACACCAAACCCCCACCCCACCCCACCCCACCCCACCCCACCCCACCCCACCCACACACACACACACACACACCGCTGAAATCTTCATGACCGCCTTTGAAGAGACAGGCCTAGAAACATCGCCTGTTCATCCACTATGCTGGTACAGGAAAGTGGATGACACTTTCGCCATCCTTGATCCTGACCACGACCCTGCAGTCCTCCAAATCAACTCAAGAAACAGCACACACGCATCCAGTTCAGCATGGATATTGAAGATCAACACAAGCTGCCCTTGCTTGATGTATCCCTCGACAATTCATCCAACAAGATCACTCCCTCTGTCTATAGAAAACCAACACACACGGACCAGTGTATTCACCATCTATCCAACCACCATTCACAAATAAAACGAGCCATAGTTTCAACCCTAACCATACGCGGCAAGGCTATCTGCGATCAAGGCAAACTCCAAGATGAAATCGACCACCTCAAAACAACCCTCATCACCCTCAACGGATATCCCAAACATCTTGTATTGCAGACCGTAGCCACCACCCACCCTCCAACGAAATGACCGTCCACCAAAACCTGAACGAGCTCCCATCCGGATCAACAATCCCTACCAAGGCTAGATTAGCCATCACATCAGCCGACTTCTTAAAAGAACTGCCAGTGTTGATGTAACATTTCATTCTGACAAAACTTTGAAATCAATCCTGAGAGCGAATGTGAGAGGTGATAGCAACCAGACCGACCCCAATCCCAGAGGATCTATCTACAAAATTTGTAGTGATTATGGAAGTAGCTATATTGAAGAAACTTGCGGGCCCTTGACCTTATTGTAAAAACATACCCTATCATTGTATTCTTCTCTGTCATCTCACCTCATAGTTTGTACATCCGTAATTAATTATATCTCCTTCTTCCCTTCCGTTTGTATATACTCAATTTACATATCTGGCCTCCTGTACATCAATATATATATATACTGACTGACTGAGTTTGGTTTTACGCCGCTTTTAGCAATATTCCAGCAACATCAGGGCGGGGGACACCAGAAATGAGCTTCACACATTGTACCCATGTGGAGATTCGAACCCGGGTATTCGGCGTGACGAGCCAACGCTTTAACCACTAGGCTACCCCACCTCCCCCTATATATATATATATATATATATATATATATATATATATATACACATATATATACATACACACACACATATCAATACACACACACACATATATATATATATCTATATATATATCTCAACCACAATCGACATATGTAATTGTATAAACAAGTATAACCAGTGATTATGTCTAATGATGTTTCACTCAGTGGTTATGTCAATTTCTGAAATTTTCAGTAATTAGACATAATCACTGAAACGAACCACGGAAAGTTATGCTTGTTTACTGAAAGCATATTCTTCAGTTTTCAAATGAGATTAGAGATCAATGTGTCTTAGTATGAATGAGAAGCAAACAGAAGCATGTGTTGTAACAACATGTGAGGGTACTTCATTGGTAGTCCATTGTAATCAAGACACAACATGTGTCACTAAACTCTATGATGTCAGTGACTTTGACACAGATCAAACAGTCTCTCTATGTCAAGCAGTTCAACGTGAGTCAGATTGTGGTGGCTAAGATTGGTGAGATGCAACTGTGCTGGGGCCAAACGGTGTCAAACTAAGCGCTGCAAATGTTTCAAAGCAAAACTGGAGTGCAATTCCAGATGTCACTCAAGTCTGCCATGTACATGTCCATATTTACGAGTATGATGTAATGTTGACTGCTGCCAAGGGTGGGATGTTAAATGGAAACTGTTTCCGTGACCAAAATGATCTATGTATAGTTCAACAGCTTCTCTGGGCAAATGACTCAGCCTGTGGTCATCAAAGATTCCTAATATGTAATTGACCATTGCTTACGTTATAATGTTGTCTTGTAAATTAAGAATAAACGT